ATACAAATCACACACATACAGGATCATGACAATTTGATATTATTGTTGCAGTGGAGCAACATTCATGAAGATGGTACCTAGTGAGAGTTTTGCAGGTTTTCAATATATCTGTGGTGCTATAAAAAATCCTTCAAGATGCTAGGAGTCATCTTGCTGAGGTTGTGCCATTATTCTACACATGACAATATTGGAATTTTTGTGAGTTGAAATGTTTCTTTATATTGGCTTAAAAAAGGGCTTCCTTGGGGCTGCAGCTATAAGCATGTTGTGGTCATATGAAATATCTCCTGGTTTTGGTATGGATCAATGTATGATGGATCTGAGGCACTACAAGCTGAGTCCATAGAGCTGAGTGAAGTGTGAACATGTGCCAGTAGACAGATCAGCACATTGTTTTGGTCAGTTTTTGTGCTGAGATTGTCCATAGCCATTGCAAATATATCAGCTTCCTTCTAATTCACCGATAGTTGAAATGGTTGGGTGATTTTGATATCCTACAGAATGCCACAGGTCTGATGAAAGGCTTCTTTGTAGTTGTAATACCTACTATCCTCATTATTTCAATCATATACAGGATGAAATGATGATTCAACAATGATATTTGATATTTTCTGTGATAACTTCGAGAATCAACACAATTAACACGATTAATAAATAGCAGGAATAAAATGTATTCAAAACACACAAAATATGTAAACAAAGTGCCCTGATAACGCCGCCTTCTTGTTTTTGATACAGCGCCCCCAACGGTCGATCACCTTGCCCAAAAAATATACAAATCAAACTCTACTCAAATTACTCAAAATATGACATCATATCTCATACTATTGATAGATGACATGTAGTTGACATGCAGTCTCTGTAGTTGACATCAAGGTCTATTAACTTCTATAAGGTTGCCTCATAGTATAGCATTATGGTGCGGGGGTGCGCGGAGGGGAGTGACGTCAGTGTTTCCCCACCACGTGATTGTAGATTTCGTTTGTGTCACTGTCAAATGAATTGAAAAAAATTTTGAATTTGAATTCGAAAGAATAGCGAATTTTAGACTTTAGTTGAAAACAGGGTGACAAGAAGACTGAAGATATCTTTGAAAGAGTGTGAGAGGTTGTATAATAATATGGTGTAGTATTATTCAATGCTGGTCACATCATAAATATCATAATATTATTGTGTGGAGTCAAGAGTGGATATAGAACAAACAAATGTTATGAAATGCCTGTTTGGCAGCCTCCACATGAGATTCAGATAATTCCAAAGGAAAATGATGAGCTGTGGCAATGTGAATGTCCCTGTGAAGCAGGCATGTCATGGTTTTGTATACACATTTTATAGGGATTATATTGACAGGTAGGAAGGTGCACTTTTGATCTATCACACACACAGGTAAAAAATACATGAAATTTCAGGAATGAAGACTTGGAATATGTGAAGCTGCATATATAACAAACAGAAGTGGTGAAAATTGAAAAAAGAGAGTAGATCAATCAATGATCTATTATACAGCCAAACCATTTCAATAGTTCTGCTACCTGCTTATTAAAAGAAGGAAAGTGACCCCCTAAAATCATTCTTCCTTTATATAATTGAAGTTAATTTTACAGGGTATATCAGTCTATTTTGTTTTTTGTTTGGAAGCCAATGAACTCAATGTAAACAACTAGCTATTGCATGGTACTCAGGAACACTGGTGAGTTTATTGAATTTTACTTATACTTGCTACTTCATTTTTACATGTAGCAAGGAGTCTTGGGAAAAAAGGCAATCAACTTCTTCTTTCCAAAGGATTTTTCAAATAAATTTGTTCAGCATGGAGTTGAATATGAATCCAAAGCTCTTTCAAAATGTTCATTGAAAATGATATTGAATTTCAAATCATGCAAACAAATTTGTGTCTCAATATTTTCCATGGTTAGGATTTTCTCAATATGAAATTATTTTTCAGGAAGGAAGACCATGGAAATAATTGAAATAAGTGTCCTTACTGAGGTCCTTACATAGAGGTTTGTTAAATAATGTGTATTACATTCAGCTTGAATTATTTTCTCAAAATTTTAGGTAAAGGTTCAGAACATTTTGTGGAACAATGCCATTTCTTGATAGGAGATGGTATAAAAAATGTGAAGTTGGAAGAGAGACACACTTATTATGGATAAATTCAGTTGGGAATAATGGCCCTAAAATGTCCCTAATGAACTTGAAAGAAACTAATTTTCTTGTATGATTCTTCTTCCTCCAAAACTTACATAAAGATTCCAGTTTTTTTGTGATACATTTTGTGTTAATGTTATGAGGAAGATATCTCAAAGATATCCATTATGTTGCACTTTTATTGCATTAATAAAATGGAATGAATTGTGATGACTTCTTTATTAATTCATTTTCTTATTATTGCATTTTCAAACAATAATATGTTCCAAATTGATACTGAAATAAAACCAGTGAGTTAGAATCATTCAATTTATCCAGAAGGAAATCCTCTTTAGTTAATTGTTTCTTGTTTCTCAGAAATGATGGCCTAATCAATTTCAAGATATTTCTTCACATCCCTTGTCAGCATGCCCTTATCCACCATGATTTCATCATTAGGTTCAGACTTCCCAATAACATTTTCTTTATTAAAAAATGCTTTATCAGTAGTTCAACCTCCATATCCTTATTAATGCCAACAGTAATCAGTCCTAATGGAGTGATATTGCAATAAGAATTTGACTGAGTTTCTGTAATGTGTCTGTACAACAGGAGCACTGAGGAACATATCTTTCTAGATTTCTGTCTTCAGTCTTTTGTACTTGCTGCATGTTTTGGGAAAACAGTGATCAATCTCTTGGACACAAAAACATATTGGATAACTTCAAAATTTATCAATATTCACTTGATTGCACAATGCTAAATTTGTTTGTTTTGGTTTTCACCTCCGCCATTTTCATTTTGCCGTTCGACAAAAGACGATGGGGAAACAGTGACGTCAGGCCAGGTCAATATGAGGCAACCTTATAGAGTTGAATAGCCTTGAGTTGACATTGCATGCTACCGCCATCTATTATTCACTTCCTGTAATAATGACTTCGAATTGCGCTGATGCCAAGTGCTCAATCTCGAATAAAATCAATACGCGTGCGTTCGTTGCGCCATCTCTTTAAAAGATGAAAAGCTCACATTTATATAAGCATCTGCATATACACGTTTATATATATTGGTAACGCTTGAAACATAAATATATTGGGTTTTGTGGAAAATAAATATATGGGGCAGCAAATTATTATATATTGGTGCAACTAATAAATATTTCGGTTGAAAATAATATATATTGCTGCAACTAATAAATATTTCGGCACGGATTAGTATATATTTGGATACACACTTTTGACCCAAACGGCGTCTCATACAAGCGCACGATGTTCCTCAAACATATTAGGAATTCCCTCTCGTGCGCTCCAAGAAATAAAAAATAACCATGTTTCCCGACATGAATCCGTTGAAACACGTATACATATATTCTCTATATGTTGAAATGATTGATCTTGACCAATTAGAGGACGCGATACTGAAAAAGTAGACAGCACTGCTATTCATCAAGATTTCATCAATAGTTTGATAACAGTTATCGTAGCTGCCAGAGGTGAGGTGCAACAAAATATTGAAGAATACCTAAATAGATTTTTTGTAATTGGGTACGGCCAGTATAAAAAATTAATTGTGAGAATTGTAATATGTTTATGTTTGCAAGGTTCCTATACATGAATTCATTCAATTATTATTATACAATTTTATTCAATCCCGTCCACAAAAAGTCAGAAACGTCCAGAGTTTGACGTTCTTGGTACATCTGTATCGTACGTTCCCAGTACGTCTAGAAATGGACGTTTTCAGTACGTCATGATAAGGTCCCGGACGTTCAGAACTAAATCGGACCCAGATTCCCCAGAATGTCGATTGCCTTATGGGTTCATCCTATCGCCCCCCATGAAACATAAAAAAACATTCCTGCCAAACGAAGCGATCTGAAACTTTTCGAAAATTATCAAATAACAATTCAGTGGGATATGAAAGTTAAGCAAGTCAATATGTGCCCCTATAAGTTTAGTTTATTGTACCAGTATTTCACCTAAAAAAGATATTGTCGTGTGGCGTAGAATTTTGTGAAAATCTTATCATTTGTGAAGTTTTCTACAATGAAATAATATTGTTATATAGCCCTCATGTGACAAATTACAGAAATTCAGATTCTTGAAGTTGAATAATCAAAATGGTTTTCAAGAATAACTCGGAAATGGCTAAATCTTCTTCAGTAAATTTTAGTGCCATCACGACTTTTTCTACAAAATCCTTTATTTATTATTATCATTTTATATAAAAAACGTGAAAAAGTGAATAACCATCATTTTATATAAAAAACGTGAAAAAGTGAATTTCCGAAAATTGTTTGTATAGGTAATCGGCGATCAGGTCAATTCAAAATATATCTTCGGACGTTTCAATTAAAAATATCGAGTTTAATTTGGAGATAAAGAGTATAGGCCTTTTCTTCAGAATGTATCAATAAATACTTCCATATATGAAACTATTTATTATAGGGGTATACTTACAACATTCTATTGAGCATCCTAAGAATATTGTATACTTATTTTGTCAGTTTACTAAAAAAATGTGTGGTATTTTTTGTTATTGAAGCATTCTTGTCTGTAATATTAATTTCTAAGAAAACGAAGGTGGTATATAAACATGCATGGTCAAAATATGAGTGGCTGCACAGTGATTGGCATTGGCTGCATCTATCCACATCTATCTAACCATCGAGACATTTCATCTACCTGGACCATAGATGAAACACACCCCCTGTGCCTACTCAACCGTTTCAGTATCTGCTCACTTGAAGGCGCCACCTACCTGCAGTTTCCCTGAAAATATGAAAACATTTTGGACACGCCACTGGTCATTCGGGTAACTTCGGAAATTTTAGCCGCTTTGCATCCTTGATGTCAATTGTCAAGTTCCAAGTCCAAGTTCACACCGGTGAAAAATGAGCTTTGTGGTTAAGTTTTTTATTTACAAATATTATAAATTACAAAATCTCGAAATTCAAAATGATAATTGAGAACTCAGTTCTCCTACTAAAAACGCAGGCTACTGAAGGTGCATCTGATAAATATGTAGACCTGCTGATTAGGAACAACTTTGAAGTTCGGCAAGTAAAGACTTTGGTGTTCCAGTTCAAAAACATTGATGCTTTGAAACACAAACTGAAAAACGATGGGGACTATTCAGGATTGATTTTCTCCAGCCCCCGCTGTGTCCATGCAGTATATTTAGCTACAAACGATACCAAAAGCTTGATTGACTCATGGCAGTCAAAACACAACTTTGCTGTGGGGGAAGCAACTTATAAAGATGCCCTGGACAAACTGTCTTTGGAATGTAAAGGAAAGGAATCTGGGAATGCTGTGAATTTGTCAAAAGTAATCATGGAAGGTTAGTACAAAGATAAGGTAAGCAATAAACATCTATCATTCTATCAGTAACAACCAAAGACCCACAATTATTTATTGTTGACTTTCATTAAATCTTTGATCACATAAACATCTAAAATGAAATAGATCCTACATCATATTTCATCATAATTTACCTAATCAAACTCAAACCCCACTGGCATCTATCAAATTTGACCATATTGAATTGAAATCTCTTTCACAAGAATCCAAAAAGATTGTCAATGTTGTGATCTATATCTATCATTATTATTTTTCCAAAACACAAACATCCTATGATATACCAGGTGGCCAAGAGATCTGGGCCTCCCCTCTGTTAGTTGAGATAGAATTATGTAATTTGAAGGGTTCAATAAATAACACCTTATTTCACATCCACTAATACAATTACACATTTTGAATTACTTCTGGTTTCAGCAGAAATTACCTCAATTTTTGATTTTCAAATGGGTATATTTTCACATTTTTGGATTGAGGAGATCATACAGTTGTATGATTTTTACAAAAAAACATCTTTTCCAACTAGACACCATTGTAATTGTTCTATCCATCATTCTGTTGCCCCCTTAGCAACCTTTAGTATTCTTTGAAACTTGTGCCAGCAGGGAATGACGAACTCACACCTTTCAATGTGTTATTCCAAACACTTTCTTAGACCATCAAAAAATGTCTGCAGAATACTTCCACTGAGACTCACACTGAGAGGCTACCTGGCGACCATCATAATCTCTCTCTTTTAGAATGTATTTTCATTTTTTGTGTATCCATTTATCAATCAGATATTGACAAATGTGGTATGAATTAATTAGTTAAGGAATATCCCAGAGAATATCCTTCATAACAATAAAAACTGGCCCACCATTATTCCATTTGAAAAAGCAAAGTTATTCTAGGAAAATCATGTATGATCACTCAGAGAAAGCAAAGCAAGAAAAATAGTATGATTTGAAATTTTCTCTCGAGAAGGACTGAAACAGAAACAATTTATGGCAGTAAACGCCACCTAGATTCCAAAAATCTAATAAAATTTTCATCCAAAAGTTATCTAACATCATTTGATGGAGAATCGATTGATGAAAAATCAAATGATCAAAAATTAATTGATGGAAATATCATTTGATTGAAATATCAATTGATCAAATTACATTTGGATTAAACTTATAACATGAAGAAACATTTCCTGAAATGCCCAGTAATTTCACGTTTTGCAGGCAAACAGCATAGTAACTTCGTTTTCAGCTGTTATCTACACTGTTTGCGGGAAGGTAGAGGAAGGAAAATATCCTTTTTGCATAAGCATAAAAAAAGGACTACTTTGCTCAAACAATCTAACTTTACTGGGCCTAAATGAACCTTCTTCCTAGAAAGTATATTTTTAGGAAACTTACTTGACAGAACAAAAAAGGCTACTGTTTCTAAACAACCTAACCTGACTCAGCCTAAATGAACATGAAATTGCCGTAACTACAGGGTATACCTAAACTATTAGGCAAGTGGTGTACCAAATGTTGAGGTACACCGTTTGCAATATCATGTCCTGTCAAAGCGCTGCTACTCTCTCACATAAAAAAATCCATCTCATATCAATTTTTCCTTTCTACATTGACTATTTATCAACGATGTTTCTCGAAACGGCGACCTACTATGAACCTCAATTCATTTCAAATATTTCGACTCAACATTCTGCTGAAATTGCTGACTATTGAAATTTAGTGTGGCTTCAGTGGATTGTCATTATTTTAGAGGGGGAAGGAATGTAACATTCATTTCCCTTGTTATTAGGCTTGGTTTATCAATAATAATTCAATAATATCATATTTGATATCAGAAAATGCCTGTAATTAAAATAATTGACGCTGAGAATGATATTCAAATTTCACCAGCTGATCAGCTGCTGCTGATTACTGATGAAAATCATGAAAACGTGTTCCGAATTACAGCATTATTTTGTTAATTTCATTATTTCGGAACACAGATTTTCAGCAGTGTCAGCGGATCTACTCACAGTTCTGACCAGTTGAATTTGAAATATAGCAATAGTATGATTGAAGGTCTGAACTATGTCTTTGTAACCGAATGTGACATAAATTCTGACATATGTTGATCCCTATAGTTATATTTGGGATAATCTCTGAGCTTCTCACAATTAAATCCTCCATATCAATGAATACCTGGAATCTATACAAAGGGTTTGAGACAAATCGATAAGTAGTTTTATCAAATGAAGTTTGATCTAATGATTTTAATCCGAGTTTCAATCATATTTTCGGCAATCATTTTGCATAACCATATCCAGTAAATCTGTAATAAGATGTTATTTGAACCATCCAAATTCCATAATTCTATCTCAAGTGAATCAGAAATGACAGTGGTGGTCCGGTTCTCGTGACCACCTGGTATATGTAATTATCAAGTTCATTCCTAAGAAAGTTTAGTCTTTTTATTCGATAATTCATTCTCAAAATCTAAGATCAAGTCCAAGTTTGAAAAAGTATTTTGAAATTAATGTTTTTTTTTTTTTAGAAAAATTCATCCATCAAAAACCTCTTCTTTTTCCTCATGGCAACTTGAAGACTGATACTTTGAGCAGAGAACTTGAAAAGGAAGGTTTGAAAATTGAGGGAGTTTTAGTTTATGATACAATCACAAATCCTGATATCTGTGAGGAGATCAAACAAGTGACAGATAATTTTAGGGCAGTGCCAGAGTATGTGGTGTTTTTCAGTCCTTCAGGTCTCCACAGTTCTTTAGAGCATCTTCAAAATATTCCAGATTTTTGTTATGCCAAGGTGAGGTAGTGAGCAAAACTACATTTTCAATTTTAGAAATTGAATTACAACACTGACACCATTTCAATAAATGTACCTGACACTAGAATAAGTACAAATTTCCATATAAGTTATGGATGAAATCCTGTAAGATTAAACTTTTGCAGCTTATTGCCATTGGACCAGTTACTGAATTAGCTATGAAAGAAAAAAACTTGGATGTATTTGGTGTTACTAGAAAACCGACTCCAGAAGATGTATTGGATGTCATAGCAGGAAGGTAGCAAATTTTATCATTTTTTAACAGATTTGTGAATGTATTTTCCATGTAGCTGAAATATTGTGATAAATAATTTTACATGTTTTTTTGAGTATTACAACAACCTTATCTATAGAAAGATCTGGTGAGATAATGGCAACACCGCATTGCCATGATCTGAAAGTCCAACTCTTGTACCAATTTTCAATTTTTCTTCATATTCCCTAACTGACTGATTTTAATGAGGATATTTTGGTAGACAAAGTGTCTTCTTCATTGAGATTATTTATTAATGATATAGCAGGTTAGGTATGTAAAAACAATCGCGTAGCTCATTACACTACTGCAGTCGGCTGTCCGATCGGTGACTTCTTGTCTCTTGACGTATCGCCCGGATCAAGTTGAAATTCTCGCGTATGCACGTCATACACTGGTGGTACGGCTGATCTTGGCTTGCCGTACGTTGTACCGAGATGCTTATACTATGGTGTAACGAAGTAGTAGTGAAATAGTTTCGTCAAAAGTTCTCGATGAAATCTGACAGCCGCCAACTTGATTGGTCTGTGTGTTCTATGATTGGCCATAATTTCCAAAAACGCCGCGAGAGGTGCGAAAATTGCAAGATGGCGTAAGGTCCAAAACGAATTGAAGACAGCAAACGAACGCGGAAAACAACAATAGAACTAGAAACAACAAATAACTCGAAAATGATTCTAGAGATTAACACTGAGGACTAGAACACTGGAAACACTCAAAAGAAAAACTGCAGACTGTGGATGGAAAATAACTAGGATTAAGGTATGTTGATGCTTGTACGAATTCCTCAAAATTTATGCGATTCGCAAAATATGAAATTCCCAACAGAATTCGACGTTCATACTCATGCGACAAAATAACCTGGAGATAAGGGTTCTGTTGTCATATGATTTCTTTATTTCTGGTCCCACCATTGATAGAAGTGCATCAAATTGAAGGCACGTGACACGAAATTGATTTGAAATATTTATTAGGATCATTCAGTCGAATTTATCGAACGAGGCTGAACTAATTTCCATTCATTTTTTCGGCATTTAAAAATGCTTAGAACAGTACAGCTCCTTTTTCTGCTTCTGAATATATCATCAGTTCTATAGAGACGATACAGATGATACTTGAGAATCCATCCTACGAAGAAAATTTAGTCACATGGAATGATGAAATTTTCAATTATAATTTTGTACTTACTCATAGTGTCTATTCTCGTCTTTTTTCGGCCTCTGCTGTCCGCTCTCTAATTCCCCAATTTTGATGTTATATCACAATAACAACAAATTATATGTGGTTATGATTCCAACCCATTTTGTAAAAAAGTTCAAATATTTCAACTTCATTGCGATATTCGCAATCGCAATTCGCATAAATTTTGCGGAATTCGTACAAGCATGGACATACCTTCACTAGGAATCGGAATGAATCGACACGAATTTTGAATTTGAAATTCGAATCGACAAATTTGACAATCAACGACCTTGACCACAGAACTGCAGATAATTTATGGCCGCGACGCCCTCTACAGGTGATTTCTGAACTATGGCTGGAAAAATCAATCGACATATTCTGACGAAATACAATTGGAAAGTGAAAACACCATAGTTATAAGCATCTCGCGTTTTACCTACCAGCCGTATAATGTGCTGTGCCCCATATTGGTCGCGTGCACGATGACCGACCCTGGAGGTGAAATATTGAAACACAACCTCACTTTTATCATTTGTTTATGTAATGAATTAAGGAACTTATTGATGATACTCAATTATTATAAAATATCACATTTTTATTTATCACAGTTTCTTTTATGCTTACACGTGCTTACATGTTCACGTTAGGACGGCCTAGGCAAGAGAGAGCTGCTTTCCTACTTTCTCTATCACCTCACAATAATTGTACGCATGTGCGTAGATCATCACAGTTTACAAAGGAATCAGAGGATTGAAATAGTTCTTCACAATATATTGTTTGTACAATGCACAAAAAATGCAGCGAGAGACGAAGGAATATGATTTGTCAGATAAATAGTGATGTAACATACTTTTCATTGTGAAATTCTGAAATAGAAGCTAATTCTGCTTATGGAGTGAACATTTTTACAATACACACGATCATATTTCGTCAGCAGGTCAGATATCAGTCCTTCCGTTTGATTGCACAAATCTCATATTCTTGCCTCCTTTCAGAAACTTCACGAGTAATGACAAAATTTCAAAATGAAAACTATGTGAGTGACTAAAGTACTTTTAGATCACAATGTACCTACCTCACCTACCTGAAATCGGATTCCTGCGTCTCTCGCAGCATTTCTTGTGCATTGTACAACAGCACATTGAACAGCACAATGTGATGGCATGTTTGGATTATTGAATATTCGAAAAACACGATTCTAATACCAAAATAATTGTGAAAAACTATTTTAATCTCTTGTGAACAAATAAGAAAAGTGAGGTTATATTTCAATGTTTTACCTCCTGGGTCGATCATCTGACAGATCTTGCACGCAACCATACCGACCTAATTAATGCACGGATTGTCATTCTATTTTCGTATTACCAATATACTTCCTCAAAGACATGCTAATATTTGAGGGGATGATTCTCTGAAATTTGTTTTGTCACATCAGGTTGTATTACATAAAATATTGAAGGTATACTTGAAATTATTGCTGCTCATAAGCGCTGAAGGTAAATCAGTATTGACTTTAATAGGTATCTGATGAATATTGAATTAAGAATGAGATACTGGAAAATTGCATATTCAAAAATTACCACGAACATGAACGTCAAGAAAGTCAAGGATTCATTTCACTTTCGTATACCTATTTGAAATTCATTTTTGCTTTCAGTTGGTACATTTCAACATGAACATACAAATACGTATAGAGATAATAATTATTAAAACAATACAGGGTGTTCCTTAATGATATGCTAATATTCGACCCATTTTAAGAAGAAAACTTCATATGAACGTATGTCCTAAAAGTCTTAACTTTTGAGATACAGGGTGATGAAGTTTTGAAAAATATTCAGTTTTTTTATGATAACTAAGACAATATTGTATACATCTTCTTGAAATTTAGTACACGTCTTTTATGCATCAAGGTGCATTTTCTGATGTACAAAAATTTTCATTTTCTCTAACAGTGGCACCGTTACGGGAAAATTATTGTTTATATTTTACTTAAAAGTGAGCAACGACGAAAAATTTTCAAATTTCATACGATGCTATAAACGGCTATTTAATTATGTACAAGAAAGATCCTTTTGTTGATACTCGATAGAACGCTTCGTTTTCGAGAAAAGACTTCAAATTTTGAAGTTTGAGTACTTCATTCAGGACATCCATTACTGGATAACCACCGTATGTAACATTTTGAAACTTGTATTCCGATTCAGTCACATAGCAGACTAAATTTTGCCATCACGAAAAGCTATACAGGGTGGACAAAAAAATAATCTATGCATATTTTCAACATTGACACCCTGTATCTCTAAAGTTAGTACGTTTACGACATATGTTCATATGAAGTTTTATTATTAAAATGGGTCGAATATTAGCATATCATTAAGGAACACCCTGTATTGTTTTTATAATTATTATCTCTATACGTATTTGTATGTTCATGTTGAAATGTACCAACTGAAAGCAAAAATGAATTTCAAATAGGTATACGAAAGTGAAATGAATCCTTGACTTTCTTGACGTTCATGTTCGTGGTAATTTTTGAATATGCAATTTTCCAGTATCTCATTCTTAATTCAATATTCATCAGATACCTATTAAAGTCAATACTGATTTACCTTCAGCGCTTATGAGCAGCAATAATTTCAAGTATACCTTCAATATTGTATGTAATACAACCTGATGTGACAAAACAAATTTCAACAGCCCTAAAAGCATCGTAAAAAAGCTCCTGTGATGAAAATGTATAACTTCTAGAATATTATTTGTTTCCAAAGAAGCATGTAGCGGTAATAAATAATATGTATGTCTCCACCGCCATAAACATATTTGAGGACACTTTGATGATACTCGGAGGTACGGCCGGCCGACCAGGAAGGAGTGGGGTGGCTTGTTATTAGTCATTGTGGAGCCTTTCGCGTTTGGTGTGTCGTATGTTGAAGTGGTTGAAAATAGTTTATTCGGGCTTCAGATTCAGCAGAAAAATACAATCAGTCATGGTGAGCGTAAGAGAGGTAGTATGATCGGTAAGCCAATTATCATTTCATTAAAAATGAAAAATTAAGTTGACGAACTAGTTACTGCTAGAGCAACATCTACCCTCTACCCTGGCCGACCCAGGTTGTAAGGGCATGAGCCGTCACTGTAACTTGTTCTCACTGAGGGTATGAACACAAACTTTTTCTGCAATTCTTCATCATTAGAGAATTTAAAAATTTCAATGTTCTTATTACCGAAACATGATTCTTATACTATACCTTGTCATTAAACAATATTTTGACATCTTCTATTAAGGAATGTTTGAAATAGTATATTTATTTCATTACCAGTCTAAAAATAGGGATTTTTCCGTGTGCATGTGACAATTTCTCAAGTCATGCAAGCTCGGAAAAATCATTTCGTAATGAACGATATTTTTATTACACTTTGATGAAAATGAAAATATAATAATAAAATATTACATAAAAAGACACAAAAGAAATATGGAACATTTTTATTTTCACAGTTGTAGGAATGAAAAAACTTGGTACTAGACCTGGATTTTGCTGGTAAAAAATTCGCGGTCGCTTGTGCTGCTTGCTCTAGGATATTATCGGGAATTTCGGGATTTTCTTTTGAGTTCATTTTGTCGGCATAAATTTGATTGACAGAGAATAAACAATGCTGACAAATACAGTGTTTGGCATGTATGATTCGTTTCCATGGTTATTCTCAAAGTTTTTCCGTGCGCTGTTTCCGTGCGATAGCCTGAAAACGCCTATCTTACAATATTACTAATATAGATGAAAACAAGTTGATTTCAAAGAAGTGTAATAGAAATAACTTTTTCTAATCTCCATATGTAATTTGACACTTTTCAAAACTGACGGAAGTTTGGAAACGTCTTACTTTACGTAACCAGTTGTGTGTAGTAAAATATTATATAACTGGTAATGAAATGTTCAACTCAAGTTGAATAATAAAAATATATATAGATAGATAGATAGAGACGGGGTGTTAAGATTTCAAATAATCTAGATACTGAATTCCAACTCTTTGATTTACCTATAAACAGTAAGTATATATTCGATATTTTAATCCTTAGGATAGAATCAAAAAGATTGAGGAATTAATAAAGGTTCCCAAAATAGTGTCAAAAGTTTTATTAATCAACAGCTGATAATATTAAAAATACAATCTTCTTAATGAATTTTCATCAATTCATGTATCACAGTTTCCAGTATTTAGACTCAAATTAAAAATATATGAGCAATTATTTTCAAAAACCTAACTACACAGAAATCTGTCCCTAAAAATAACAAACAATTCTCTTAACAAACTACTTATCAACTATAAAATGAAAATTTTAAAATTACATTTTATGTAAACACTAATCCATTCCATTTGCTATTAACAGATCTCAGTTCACTTGAAAATATTCTGAAAAGTCTGGATCAATCATAAATTAATACCCAGAAATCTAGAATACTTTCAAAAACAAACATACAAGTCCCATATTCTATTTACCAAGATGTAAAGTATTTTGACCAATTAATTAAATGAAGTTCAGGTGGATTCATTGTGTAGGCTGGAATGTAAAATTTCAAGAACTTATATAACAAGAAGTATACCTGAAAAGACCACCGACTTTCTTATTTTACACCCTGTTAATTTGATATTTTCACGTATCCCACGCGTCACTAAGGCTTCCACCTGAACCTTGATCTGTAAGATTATTGAGTCATGAATTACAAAGTGGTTAATAGAGGCTATCGGACATGTCGTATTTTTTTCTCAGATCTGGATATGTTGAATTCATCAGCCTTGTTATGAGATAATGGGCATATTCTGAATAGAGAAATATTATAGCAGATCTAAAGGTTAACAATTCGTGAAAATCACGAAGTGTGTTGGTTCTGGTATGTAGAACTTTAGAACCTTTCTGAAAGTGATCAACAAACCAAGCTGAAAACAATAGAAAGTAAAAAGGGATACAGAAGTAGCAATACATGGTCGAGGCAGTAGTGAACGTATCATGAAAACAATATGAACTGATAATAGTTATTATGTATCAAGGGCGTGAAATAGGCTTTTATAGACCATAGCGTGAGTAAGCTATTAGCACGCCAAGGTCCATAAAAGCAAGTTACGCCCGAAATACATACAACAATTTATGCACGACCGGTATATTTGGTTTTTTACCGTCTGTACCTCTCAAGAACGATAGAAATACATCATGGCTGCAGTGAAGATAATCATTGATGGAATCAACAGGAGAGTTTTCGGTGGAGTTTTTGGTTGTCGACTGGCTTGACCGACTGGTCGTTAGTGTCACGTGACTAATCACAAATGACAAATACGAATGGTTTCGACCGGTCGCTTGTACAGAAAAACCTTCAAAACCATAAACTTCACTGATGACTTGTTAATACATATACCGAAAATAACACATTATCTGGCATCTTAAAAACCAGATATATTAGGAATCATATAATATGTATCATTGTATTCCTCGAGACAGATTTTGTTGAATGAAATAATGATTTTGAACTGTATATATATCAGAAACAATGCACTCAAGTGAATCATCCAATGATGTAATGTTATTTATCTAAGACCACTATAGAAAGTAGGCAAGAACACACGAGATACAGCATCAGTAAGTAGCTCTTTACGCACAGTAAGCACATCGCACAGTTTTCGTTTATTCCGTCAGTATAGGTATGTCATGATCGCGTAATCGCCGTCAACAGCGGATGACATAACTGTCAAGAATTATAATTCAGACTGTTTGTCCAAACTTTTTTGATATGGCAGTAGGTAAAGTATGGAATTACTTTTCCATTCGTGCGTAATATGCTTTTAACAACACATATTACGTATTATACTATTTTGTTGAAATATAAGCAGTTCCAATCACTCAATTCTGAATACTGTAGATGCCCTTTCCCATTTCTTGTGTAATTTGATTGTTTTGAGGTTATAATTCATATCCTTGAACCACATCGACCATCAAAAAGCCCGGGCGAAGTCTAGGATCGATCGGCCTTGATCTTCAATAAAAAAAGTCACCATTTGAAGTTCAGTCAATGTGGTCATCAATCAAAAACTCTGTGGTCGAAGTGTAGTCCAAGTGGTTGCGACCGGTCGGCAATCCAAAACTGTCTATACGGTGGAATTAATTGAAATAAATACATATGAATGTAATCTTGAGAAGTCTTGTGTCACCATCAACAAAAATGAATCAATATCAATCAATGATTTAGCCATCACACTCAAGAAAGATTATAAAGTGGTAGATACTGAACGACCAAACGAATTCATCAAAAACCAATCAATAACTCAAGTAGGTAACTGACCTATATTTCTCGACAAAATAATGTCATAATATCAGATTGAAATGATCCACAACATAACAACCTTGAAAGGATAATAGAGAACAAATAAGTTTTTTGTGCAGCAGTCAGTAGCATGAATTCAATCTGACCTGAAATGAAGCATCATGCAATAGGATGTTAATTTATTTTCATTTTTTTATTTATTTATTTCAGTTATTGCGTTGAATTTTCTTCACTAATATATTTTATGCAAATAATATATAAAACATAATTAATTTTCTAGTAGGAATGACATGAATGATCAGACAGTAATTCCTGCTATAAGATCTTTCATGATGTATTATCTACTGTTGGTATATTTGAGATTACAAATAGTCAACAAAACTTACATATTACCAAGATGTTTCAAAAGAACAGAAGGGGAAAAAACAGCAAAGAAAAAAAAAGGGAATTCATAAAGTCTGTCAGCATTGATCATTTCTTTGCATCAGAATATATTTATTTGCTTTATATTCAAATTGTATAATATTTGGGCTGTTTTTGATATCATCTGGTAATTAATTTAATTTCGAAATCGCCTCATGTGTAAGTCTAAGTTTTGATTTTGCAGCTTCAAAGTGAAACAAGTTATTGTCTAGTGTGATGACCATGAATTTGGGAATTCCTGATTAAAATAAAATTTGAGCTTTTTTTTGATGATATAATAGGAAATTTCAAGAGTATTGATTGAATAGTTCTCTTCTAAAGAAAATGTGTTTGTTTCTTAATACAGTTGATTTGTTGGAGTATCTTCTTGAAGCACCAATAATGTGCTTTTCCCATGTTAATTTTTCATCAATCCAAATACCAAGAAATTTGGTCTGGGCAGTTTGTTTCAAAGATCAATATTTTGTTTATTTCTTTGGCGAGAAATTATCTATTGAGCCTTATTACAATTAAGAGAAAGAAGATTGGAATAAAGCCATTTCTAAATGTTTTTTCAAGTTATACAACAAATCTCTCAATCAATAATCCTTGTGGTGAAGATTGCTTCCTTCTTTTTGTTTTTGAAGTGATTAATGGAAAAAAATACTGAAGGCATTTACTGTTTCAATGATGTATTTTATCAGGATCGGCCGTGAGCGAAGCTCTCGTAAATAACTTTTCTGTAAACTTGTTTCCGCACGGATTATTTGTTGCGCCCTGTCTCTTTGCGTGTTGTCTCTAGATGCTTCATTTCAGGTCAGATTGAATTCGTGCTTGGAAGTTTCTTGTTGATAATTCAGAATGAATAAACTGAAAATTCTTTGATATACAGGGCCCCGATGATTTCATAAGAACAGTATTGATATATCTGGAAGGGTAAAAGATTTTTATTTATTTTCTCAGTTGATATATAAAGAAGGTAATTGAAAATTTGCAAAAACAGATGATAAACCAAGAAAAAGGAGTTGAGATCGTTAGAAATGTCCATCTTTTTTTCAATTTTAGATATACTCTACAACTTTTGTTCATCTTAGGGCACCATATTTGTTTTTTATACCACTGAATAAAACTAAAAATCTCTACAGGTATGTAGGTATAACATATCGACATTTTTACTTGAAAGAGCACATGACATGAAAGAAAAAGATTTTATTTTATTTAATGGTATTTAATATCCAATTAGAAAAGGAAATAAAAACAAAATCAGGGGTTTCCAGTTTTATAAAAATATATCAGGGCCGACTGAATATTTTCCAGCTTGTGAAACGGCATATTGAGAATGTGTTAACCCTCCTTCTCTTTCTTACCGTTGTAAACAATAGCAATACCGTTCCTATGATATTATCGGGATCCTGTATGTACGTACTGAATATTTCATAAACATAGCAAAGTTCGGAGGCGTCACATTTGCCTTGCGGTCACATGGTATAGTTTGTCTTTGGTAACATGTAAAGCGCACAGCCCGTACTTCGGAATATACCCATTATAGGAAGAATTCCAGAAGGATTTTAGTTGCCTGCCACAGAATCTAATTTCACATGAGCTCGAGCGCCTCGATATCAATTTGACAGATCATTTCTTCAGTTTCTGATTCTCAAAAATAAAAAGCTTTTAGTGACAGAAGATGATGATCAGTTCGCGAGCTTGTCAAATACGTCAAATTGACATCGAGGCGTCCAAATTTTAGCTACGCTTTCGATATTACTTCGATCGTCTATACTTGTTCACTCTTTGATACAAAGCTTTCACCGATTCGGAATCGTCTTGGTTTTCTCGAAGGTAATACAGCCTCAACTTCTTCTCCGAGTGGCATTCGAGTATGCCCCAATGCTGGTAGAGTTTGAGGGCGTTTTTGATGGAGTCCACTGAAACACTCTCAGCTGGAATGGAAAGTATATGGTGAAAATTTGTGCTTGCTGTATACACATAACTGATCAATCAAATGAAGAAATTTGTAAATATACAGTGTGTCCCACTTACCATGCTCACCATGGGTATCTTTTAAACGGTGAGAGATACGAGGTCGGTTAAATGACACAAAATGTGGAGTTTGTCAAGGCCAACTATAATGTGAAAAAATATTTTGATAAAATCTATTCGTTTTTGTTTTATACGCAAAAAACAGATTTTGATCATTTTCATGTCTCCTCCGTAACTTCTTTATTTATGAAAATATTCAAATAGGAATTTCACATTCTAATGGCAGTTTTTCAAAGTTATTTCGAAAAAAATATGGAATTTATACCAACTCTTCTAGAATTTGAGATATCACCACCAACTTTAGTTTTTCAAATGTAGGTCATAGCTCACTATGACTTAGTTACAAATAACTTTTTTTTTTCTTCCAGATGATATGTCGCAGTAATGGTTTTGTGTTGATAACAACGGAGTTATATCATTTATACAAAAACAAAAAATTATTCGGAAGCCGCCATCTTGAATTTATGAATTTTAACAAAAAAATCATAACCTCCGACCTCAAAAACCTTCACTTACCAATTTTGAATGGAATCGGACCAAATCTTGTCCGCCATCTTGAAGCAGCCATTTTTTTTAATTTCAACAAAAATTCCATAACTCCGATTAACTTGAAATTTTGCAGGTGTTCATAATTTCGGTGACAATACATTATGGAATTTCTGTTGAAATTTTAAAAAATGGCTGCTCCAAGATGGCGGACAAGATTTGGTCCGATTTCATTCAAAATTGGTAAGTGGGGGTTTTTGAGGTCGGAGATCATGATTTTTTTGTTAAAATTTAAAAATTCAAGATGGCGGCTTCCGAGAAAAAAAAGTTATTTGTAAAAGTCATAGTGAGCTATGACCTATATTTGAAAAACTAAAGTTGGTGTTGATATCTCTAATTCTAGAAGAGTTGGTATAAATTTCATATTTTTTTCGAAATCACTTTGAAAAACTGCCATTAGAATGTGAAATTCCTATTTGAATATTTTCATAAATAAAGAAGTTACGGAGGAGACATGAAAATGATCAAAATCTGTTTTTTGCGTATAAAACAAGAACGAATAGATTTTATCAAAATATTTTCTCACATTATAGTTGGCCTTGGCAAACTCCACATTTGGAGTCATTTAACCGACCTCGTATCTCTCACCGTTAAAAAGATACCCATGGTGAGCATGGTAAGTGGGACACACTGTATTATAATAACAATGTCATTCGGCGAAATTATTAGACAACAAGCTGTAGTAACAATCTTCGAATATTTCCGGCAAAATAGTGGTATTACATATTATTATGACAATATTTTAGGAGCCATGACCAACTTTGTTTTAAATTTTGACCTTTATGACATCAACATTTTAATGTTAATTTCTTCGTTCGGTTTTTTCGCTTCATTATATTATTACTGCGATTTTCAACTGAGATTTTGAGAAATGGCAAGTTATTTGTGATGCAGAGACGTTTGCCGCTTGACGCGTTAGAACAATTTTGAGGATTGTGCAAAGATTGCGTGAAAAAGAATGTTTCAAATCGAAAAATAGAGATGGTGTCGCCCAAGAAGTTCGAGGCCTACTAAAATATTGTTACTGATGAATTTACCTGCTGATATCATGTCAACATAAAAACTCAAATATCTCGAGAACGGTTACATTTCTTGTATTTTGATAAGAGTACAATTTTCAGGTGATTTTCTTCTCTCTATCAGATAATCTTGTTTTATTACCACAAAGAATACAAGGAAAGAAATCATGACCCACCCTCTTGAAACACCTTTTATAACTATAGCATCAATGTAGCAAAAAAACTGTATTTCATCAACACACATTTATAGAAGTTATGCGGAAAAATTATTTCAATTTAATCAACTTTGGAAGGATATATACAGGGTGTTTCAAAAAAACCTAACTCCATTGCTAGGGTAGGCAGAACATTGCAAAATAAGTTGGGTTTGCTCAGTAAAAAAATGTCGTAATGCCATCCATTTTCAAGATACAAGGTGTTGAAAAAATATTTTTTTACACATTTTTTACGATTATGTTGAAGCTACTGGCAACATTGTAATGAAATTTCGAATGGATCTGTTATGAAAGCTGACACATCGCATGAATTTGTTTTTATATCTGACACTCATAGAGGGCGCTAATAACACGGTTCGTACAAAGTACTTTCAAACATAACTTTTTTGAGGTTAGATTTTTCATTCCAAATTCAATGTGAACTTCAACATCATCAAATTTCACACTGAAAAGGTGCTTTTGGTACAGCTTGATAATGTGTACCGTTTTCGGGATATTTCGATTTGAAAATGCTGAAATATAACAGTGATGCTAGTTGAAAGTAAGTATTATAAAAGAATGTTACCTATTTATTGATAACCAAAAGCAATGAGATGATTCTAATGTGGAAGTTATCAATTGAACAGTCATGAAAAAAAATTAAATAAATTCAACTTGAACATGTAATATTCAATCAGTGAGTGTTTGAAATGTTTAGTCGCAAACCTCAAAATTGTTTTGTCTGAGTTACCTTTGGAAAACTGACATTTATCGATAGTCGAGACTAATGTCAATAACATCGATTAATTGTTGATCAATACGTAGTTCAATAATCAGAATGTATTCAAATGGTGAATACACCATATGTTATTGATATTGATCTTAGGCGAGTTTAGCGGTTATGCGTTAACTCCATCAAATATGTTGACATTTGAACACAAAATACTTCAGCGTTATTTTGCCGAGCTAAAAATCTAGAGAACAGAAAATGTAATTTTTTTTTGAAACTGTGTCACAATAGTTATTGATTATTGGTAGGAAAATAACACCAATTTGTTGATTTTTTGTCGAATTGTCAGCCCTCTCATGAACTCAGTTTGTTGTCTTTCGAGGTGATACAATCAATTTTCAAGTATATCTCTACGATAGGTTTCATAAACCTGAGTTTATGATTTTTTTAAAGTAAATTGTCAAGGACATGATTATAATAGGAGAAACCTTGTTTTATTTTTCCATTTCGGCACAAAAACATCATGCATCCTGACCCATATTGTCTAAATAATAGTCTTTTAAATGAGAAATCACCAAAATCACGGTCACAACTCAAAAATATAAACGAACAAAATACTATCCAAATACCAGGACACAAACACGATTATGAACAATGAAACAATGGAAATAAAAACCATATGAAAACGAACAATAATAAAGGCGTGGCAGATGATGGGCACAAAAATATCTAAGCCTCTCCTGATGAGAGCACACCTAATCAACGACATACGTCTGCGGTTGTAAGCAATTTCGATAATCACAGACATTCTTTCCATATCTTGGTTCTACTGCGTCGGCGCAGAACCTTAAAGTCATGATCTCCATGGGAGGCGTAAAATATTCACGCGCAGGTAGCTGTATCAGCATTCCATTTGTAGGGTTATCGTTAAGTGGGAACTACAGGTAACTTGTGAACCCGAACCACAACACTTTCTAACCTCGGAAGTAACAACACACAACCTCTTCAACACGAAAATCCACTCACCATATTCGAGCGTGCCTTGCGCCAACCGCTCTTTCAGCTCGTTGAGCGTCTCCCTGACCAGCTCCTCCTCGAGCAGCTGCCTGCCCACCAGCTTGTCCAGCGCGAAAGCTGTCGTCGCGTAGCACTCGATCAGAGGCATCAAAGGCGCCCTAAGGCACCTCAACGTGTCCACGGCAGCCGGATCCTGATTCCTTCTGTAACGTAAGGTGACAAGGTTAATCCCTGATTTATAGATTCAATAACGAAACGTAACGCAAGTACTTCCGTTACATGATAAAAGTTAAAACATAGCATTTTTTCAGTACTGTTTGTACAGGGTGTCCGAAAAGGTTTTTACTATTTCTCTGTTATATTTCTCGAGAACTTCTAGGAGTGGGGGGATCTGACCAGTTACAATCAATCGTGAGAGCGTCTCTTGGAATTTCAGTGACAATGGAGCGATACACAGGGCCGCAACGCGCTTTTTGTGTTAAAGCATTTTACGAAAACAACCATTCTTTCATCCAAGTTCGTCGCCTTTACCGTGCACATTTCAATTTGCACGACATTAGTCAAGCTCCGACGCGTTCTTCAATCAGATACTGGGTTGTAAAGTTCGAAGCAGAAGGCACGACAGTCCGTAACAACCATATCGGTCGCCCCAAAGTCGGTAGAAGTGCGGATAATATCGAGCGTGTTCGCGCAGCAGTGAGGCAAACGCCTAACCGTTCAATAAGAAAACACGCGGCCGCCCTAACTTTATCAATCGACCGTTCTCACGATCTCAAAGAAGGACCTAGAGTTTCACAAAATTCGAATTGTGCAAGCATTAAAAGTGGAAGATTATCCAATTCGTGTCGCATTTGCACAGCACATGTTACAGAACTTCCGACACTTTCGATAACATTCTGTTTAGTGACGAGGCTCACTTCCACCTAAACGGAGCCGTAAATAAACAGAATGGGCATGTACACCTTAGTAGAACTTTTAACTCAAACCATGTTTATAATGATCCTCTTATGCATAAATGATGATTGACGACATAATTCGATCGAAAAATTAACTGGAATGTTCTATTTTTTGACATAAATAATGGTACCATCTGAAAACGGACCCCCTTATGACGTAGAAACCTCATCTCGCCATAGTTGAAAGAAAATACCAAAAGCCTGACGGAGACTGAGGCAACTGATATATTTATTCTTTCAACTGTGATCTCGCGCTAATTCACTCTGTCAGAAATCATGTATCATTCATCTCTGTCTGGAATAGTCTTGTTTCAGTATTAAGGTTTTGACGTCACATCATCGCCTCGTTATCAGAGGTCCGAAAAATCAAGGATTTTAATAATTTTTTATGAAACGTAGGGAGCTCACAGCAAGAAACGGTTTGCGGTGGTGAGCTAGTTTGGGTGAGTTCTAACGAATTATGAAATAATTTTTTTTTGTGATATAAGCCGATTGCCGATATTGGGGTGATAACAATCCAAGGGAAAAACATCAGCAACCTCTACCTAGTCCCCAAGTGACATTGTGGGCAGCAATGTTTGCACATGGAATCATTGGTCCCTTTTTTTTTGAAGATGCATATCATTGCACTGTCACCGTGAATTCTGACCATTATAGGGCAATGCTTGATTTCAGCAAGATGGGGCAACTGCTCACACTGCGAATCTTTCCATGCAGGTCGTTGGAAGGATGTTTCCAGGAAAGGTCATATCAAAAAATTGTGACATCAATTATCCTCCCAGAAGTCCCAACTTAACTGTCATGGATTTTTTGTGGGGATTTCTTAAATCAGTAGTGAACACTGAAATTCCTGCTAATCTAAATCAGTTGGAGCAAAGAATTCGCGATGGAATTCGAGCAATTTCACAACAACTCTGTGTCCGCGTGTTTGCCAATTTCAGAGAACGTTTCAATCAATTTGGTATCAAAATGCATAGATAGTATTTATACAAGTCAATAAAAGTACAGTACATTTAAAATTTTCAACATATATATGTCAATGAAATAGATAACAGTCAAGAATGTTCAATAGAGGAGAACCCTCCAACATCATGTCAACCAAATTTTCCACTAACCAGGCCTTTGAGCCCAGTCAAAATTCAGGAATTCAGGAATTCTTGATGAGAAAGCATGATCAATCAGGAATTTCTTTACATGCGATTTGAATGTTTTCATCAGTAAATCTCTAACCTCAGTAGGAAGGTAATTGAAAAACTTAACAGCCCAGTAATTTGTGCCATTTTGGCATTTCGTGAGTCTATGATAGGGAATTGAAAGATCAGCTCCATTTCTAGTTGAGTAATGATGAATATCACAATTTCTAGTATATAAAGTTAAATTTGTCCTAATATGTAATAGTAAGTTTTGTAAAATATATATACAGGGAAGTGTCAAGATTTCCATTGAACTAAAAACATGGCGACAGTCATCTATATATCGAAGCCCAGCTACTATTTTTATAGCTTTTCTTTGTGAGGCAAATAATCTATTGATGTCTGCATGACCCCAGATAATGTTAGCATAGCTAAGGTGTACATGAAAAGTAGCGTTATAGGCAGTCTTGAGTGAGGTGAAAGATACAATATTTGCTAAATTTCGAAGAACAAAAATCGAGCTATTAAGTTTCTTGGACATTATTTCTATATGATTTTGCCAGCTCAGTCTTGAATCTAAATGAATACCTAGAAACTTGACACTATCCAGGTACTCATTTTCATTATTCCTACACAGAGTTAATAACAATTCGTTTGTTTTGTTTTCATTTAAAAAAGGGTCATTTGCAGCGAACCAAGATTTGGCATTTTGTAGCGCCTCATCACTCCTGGCTTCCACATCTGCAGGAAGTTTACCACGGAATGAAATAGTTGTATCATCAGCAAACAGAACGAATTTTTCTAGATATGCAGAACTTGGCAAGTTGTTGATGTAAATCAAGAACAACAGTGGTCCCAGAATAGATCCTTGTGGGACCCCGACACTTAACTCCCGCTCTGCTGAGATTTTATCTCCAAGTTTGACTCTTTGCTTCCAGTCTGACGTTTGGAGGAGACGGTGCACAGCATTTCGAGGGCATGATTTTTCACAAATGAATTTCCACATTTTGTAGTTAATTTTAAGAATGAAAAGTGTTTACTAAATTTTGAACTGCATGAGTTATGATTTTTTCAAATAGCAAAAACCTCTTCGGACACCCTGTAGTATAGAATATCATTCCGCAGAACACCATTTCCATATTTCTATGTTTGCTTTGTGGAACGGTGACAGAACGTCATGCAGAAGGGAGGTTGGGTTTATTGTTTGATTCGCATTAGGAATTGATTGATAATATACAGGGTGGGCCACGGTGGATGGCCTATTAGAAGTATCTGGAGAACGAAAAGACAGAATATTCTGAAAATTGGGATTCTTTGATATTTGAACATTCTCTATTCGTCTAAAATGTTTTTATCGATACAGTGTTGCCACTTCTATCAGAAACAACTAGCAACTTTGTTATTTCAAATGGAACACCCTGTATTTTATTGCATTTTTAGATTTTTCCTGAGGATCTGATTTCATCGATGTATCATACTTGGGGTTGAGCAGAAATGATTACAGAGATATAGGGTATTCAAAATCTAGATTTTTCAATTTCAATATTTTTTTGTGTCGAAACTATTCCTTATTGATCAAAACGGCGTACATGTCCCTATTTTAACTTTCGATTCACTATCTACTGGAATTTAATTGGAAAAAATACAGGGTGTTTCAATATTCAGAATTCTGATCACTCTGTATCTGTTCCAATTAAATGTCAGAAGATAGTGGATCGAAAGTTGAGATGTAAACCGTTTTGATCGATAATGAGTTTCGACACAAAAAAATCCCAATATTGAAAAATCTCGATTTTGAACACCCTATATCTCTGTAATCATTTCTGCTAGACCCCAAGTGTCATGCATTGATAAAATCAGCTCTTTAGGAAGAATCTGAAAATGCAATAAAATACAGGGTGCTCCACTTAAAATAACGAAGTTGCCAGTGGTTTCTGATAAAAGTAGCAACACTGTAGCGATGAAAACATTTTAGACGAATAGAGAATGTTCAATTATCAATTATCATAGCATCCTGATTTTTTCGTTCTCAAGATACTTCTAATAGGCCATCTACCGTGACCCACCCTGTATAATTGTTCTACATACAATATTGATTGAGGAGTCCTGAAAAGCCTCATCGAGAAGTTTCAAATACAAATCAAGCGTGAAATTTTCCTAACCCTACCTGTAAACTTTCCGCGGTCCCTCGTCGTAGTCGTTGTCGTTATCGTCGAATTGCTTCGCTATACGTCTGCTTCGCCTGCTCAGTTCCGTCTCTTCCTCGGTGTCCTGCAACATGCAAAGTTATATGTACAGGGTTATTCAACGAAAAGGCCCACCGATAGATTAACCTTATTTTTTTATCGAGAAAAAAAAACGATATACGGAAGTTGAATGCCGCAATGAGGCCTTTCCACAGCCCTTATGAAAAGTTTTACAGGGTGATCCCAGGAAGGGTGACAAATCACAAATTATTTTTTCAAATGGAACAACCTGTTTCTAAATTTTTTTTCCGGAATCTGTGATTTTTTGTGATTACATGAATATGTATGTACATTATGATATCTTCCATTTTTACTTCCTTATCACTACTTTTTTGATATCGTGTAAGCCATGAATCAGGGCCTACTCTATCTCACCGGGCCGTAGTCTATCCCCTCTCTCTCGACGCTAACGTCAAACTAGTAGGTTGAGATTTCACATCAGTTCGTACTGGTGCGTTCGTAATTGATAGGCTATAGCTCATGTACTATAAATTTTAGGAGCACACTCAATCAATACGAAATGATCTCCAACGACTTCCCCAACTTTTGGTGAAAAAATGAATCCAATAGGATGAATCAATACCGAGTTATGGCGTTGTAAAGAAATTCCATCTCATTGAAAATCAGGACGTTGTACTATAAAGATCGCGTAAAAAATGGGTCATTATCCTACCTACCCAAATTTCGCTGTATTACGATTTCGCGATAATTCCTTGGACTGGTAAACGGCGATATTCTTTTTATTACTCATTTTATTTCTGAATGGCGTATGGTTAAGATGTACGAAAATTAGTGTCTGAAAAATTCGAAACAATATTTATGCAATATAAGTCACAACATAAGTTTTGAAAAATTCAGCATAAATTGAAATCAATTCCCTTCTCAATTATTCCGAGAATCAATGTTGCAGTTGTGAGTCTTTTGATGGAATCATCAGAACATTTGAAATATTCTGTTGAACAATTATTGCAAAATCAAAAATAGTGGGATTAAGTCCAATAATTAAACAAAGTAAAATCACTAAACTTCCAGGATGAGATATAGTCAAGATTTCAATTTTTAGTTTGTGATTTAGATGTATATACAGGGCTTTTCACGATGAGCGTTAATTAGACGTTTCTGGCAAACCAGACAACGGATCATTTTGAAAATTCAATAGAGGGCATATTCGGACATTCTCTAGCCAACTAAAATATTTTCGACAATGTGGTGTTGCCGCTTCTATTAGAAAGCAGTAGCAACTTTGATTTTTCAAATAGAACACTCTGTATTTCATTGCATTTTTAGATCCTCCCTGAAGAGCTGATTTCATCGATGTATCACACTTGGGGTCTAGCGGAAATGATTACAGAGATATAGGGTGTGAAAAATCGACATTTTTCAAATTTAGGATTTTTTTGTGTCGAAACTATTCATCATTGGTCAAAACGGCTCACATGTCCCTATCTCAACTTTTGATTAACTATCTACTGATATTTAATTGGGACATATACCGGGTGATCAAGATTCTGAATTCTGCACCACCCTGTATTTGTTTCAATTAAATGTTAGTAGATAGTTGATCAAAAGTTGAGATAGGGACATGTGAGCCGTTTTGACCAATAATGAATAGTTTCGACAAAAAAAATTCCTAAAGTTGAAAAATGTCGATTTTTCACACCCTATATCTCTGTAATCATTTCCGCTAGACCCCAAGTGTGATACACCGATGAAATCAGCTCTTCAGGGAATATCTGAAAATGCAATAAAATACAGAGTGTTCTATTTGAAAAATCAAAGTTGCTACTGCTTTCTAATAGAAGCGGCAACACCACATTGTCGAAAATATTTTAGTTGGCTAGAGAATGTCCGAATATGCCCTCTATTGAATTTTCAAAATGATCCGTTATCTGGTTTGCCAGAAACGTCTAATTAACGCTCATCGTGAAAAGCCCTGTATATTTTTGTTATTAGTGCATTGCATTTTGTGATATCTATTAATTTTCTTCCTCATTTTCTGATGTTGATAATTTTTACAGTTTATTTTGTTTGGTTTTTTTTGTATAAGGGTTCAGTTTTCTTTTATTTTTTCCTTATTAATTCATATATCGTTGTTCTGGGTTTTTTGTTATTCAGTTCGTTATATTTGTTTTTATATCTCTCATTGTTGAAATACATATTTTTTCAATCATTTTTGTTTGGTTGTGTTCATATGAACTCCACATATTTTGTTCTTTTTAATTTTGATAGTTTGGAAATATATCCAAATCAAAATTTTTTCATGAATTTAACGTTATCCTTGAAATATATACTCTTTAGCAGAAAATAATTAATACCGAATAGGCGTTTCTGTGTAATAACACACTCGAGTGATAGGATTTCTAACGTCATCAAAGTGCGTCCTGATCATCTTTAGACATAAACGCTGCTAAAACCCTTGGAGATAGAGTGGATGTGTATTATACCGATTTATAGGCAATTAAATTTCTTACAGAAAAGTCAGTGACAGCATATATCCACACTTGATAGGATTAGCATGGGAGGCGTCCGAACTTTTTGAACTATTCTGTAATGAACACCTGAATCATAGTTCTACTTGAATTGAAATATCGATTTGTTATTGCCCTTGGGAATTAAAAAAAAAAACTCAGTCAATCTAGATGCTACGAGAAATCTTTTCATGATTGAATCATTTCTGTGAATTGAATATTGAAATTTTGGTAGCTGTTTAAAAAAGGACAATTCTGAATGGCGTCAATTAATTTTGATATGCGATATTTCTGAAACTAATGATCGTAAATCAGTGAAAGTTGATTGATCTTCTAGAAAATTCTGTTTTGTACATATTTGACCTCCTGATATTTTTTGCTAACTGTAACCGTTTTCCCGAGGTACATCAATGAAACGGAAGAGACAATTTTCACTGCGTTGATTTTGTCCCTGCTAGTGTGACGTCACGAAAGCATGCTCCGGCCCGGTGAGATAGAATAGGCCCTGCATGAATTGGGATATATTTGACAGTCATATATTGCATAATTATCGAATAGATTCCCAAACTGATCAAGTGATAACCAATTAATCCGACAATAATTGTTTGTCTAGGCTCAAAAGAGTGGTGATACAGAAGTGAAAATAGAAGATATCACCCTGCTTATACAGGGTGGCCCTTCGAAAACGAAACAGAGGCTGTGCAGGTCGCTAAAACCAGATTATGAAAAAAATCTGAAACACGTCATCTAAATTTTCGAGGGAGACATAGTTGTAAACTGTTTTCAGCTATGTGGCGTTGCCGCTTCTAACGAAAAGTAACATCAACTTTGTTATTTCAAATGGAACACCCATCAATGCATCACACTTGAGATCTAGCGGCAATGATTAGAGAGCTATAGGGTGTTCAAATTCGAGATTTTTCAACTTTAGCATTTATTTGTGTCGAAACTATTCATCATTGGTCAAAGCGGCTCACATGACCCTATCTCGAATTTCGATTCACTATCTACTGACATTCAATTGGAGCAAATACAGGGTGGTTCAAGATTCAGAATTCTGATCACCCTTTATATGTTCCAATTGATAAAAGCCGTTTTGACCAATAATGAATAGTTTCAACACAAAAAAATGCTGAAGTTGAAAAATCTCGATTTTGAACACCCTATAGCTCTGTAATCATTGCCGCTAGATCTCAAGTGTGATGCATTGATGAGATCAGCTCTTTGGGGAGAATTTAGAAATGCAATGAAATACAGGGTGATCCATTTGAAATAACAAAGTTGTTGTTACTTTTCGTTAGAAGCGACGACGCCGCAGAGCTGAAAATAATTTAGAACGATGTCCCTTTCGAAAATGTAGTTGTCGTGTTTCAGATTTTTTTCATAATCCGATTTTGACGACCTACAGAGCCTCTGTTTCGTTTTCAAAGGGCCACCCTGTATATTTTTTTGTGATCACAAAGATTCACGTATTCCGAAATGAATTTAAAATACTGGTGGTGTTCTATTTGAAAAAATTAATTCGTCTGTCATGCTTTTAGGGTTCTCCCTGAAAAAGATCTGATGAGGGCTGTGAAAAAGCCACATTGCGGCATTCAACTTTCACATAGTTTTTTTTTTTTAAGATGAAAAAATATAGTTGATATAGGGGTACGCCCGCTCTATGGATAACCCTGTACAGTGAGGACATAAAAGGTCCTCCCCTCTCTTTAACTTTTGAACGGAACATGCCAAGCTAGCGAGGTCGGATAAAATTCAGGTAAAAAGTACTTCTTTCACTACTTTTTGGCATTGAATTAGTTCATTGTTATCAACAGACAACAACAGACGAACATTGAATTATATCTATTGTACACACACGATAAGAATTTGAAAACAAGATCTTCTGAGGTTGAGAATTTGCATTCTCCTTCAGATAAAAATATGTATGCAAAATAATATCATTCTGAATATTCAACAGTAAACAACTACTTTCCTGGCTATTTGCCACGTCGAACATTGAATTATATCTGTTGAACATCCAAAAGGAGAGCATGAAAAATGAAAATCCTCTGAAATTGAGAATTGACATTCTCTGTCAAATCGAATAAAATAATAGGTCGCGTGCAAGAACTGTCAGATCACCGACCGTGGAGGCAAAACATATATGTTTACAAGTGATCCAAATAGTTTTCCACAATTATTTTGGCATATGAATCGTATTTCCGCTATTCATCAATTCGCTAATGCCATCACATTGTGCTGTTGTGAAATGCACAAAAACTGCAGCGGAAGGAGAAATCCGGATGGTACATTATGATTCGAAAGTAAGTACCTACTATAGTCACTCACATAGTTTTCATTTTTGACATTTGGTTATTTCTCTGATTTCTCATCGGAATTCCTTCTGCAATAGGATCAGCTAATAGAAATATACCTGAAATTTCTAGAATAATGCAAGAAGATTGGATTCATGCAATCAATCGGTAGGACTGGTCTGACATGCTGACGATCGTGTGTGTTGTAGACATTTTCAATCTATTAGCAGCATTAGCTTGTATTGCAGAAGTGGCAGAAGGCAGAAGGAATTTTAATAAGGAATGAAAACATTTCATAATGCTAACTATGTGAGATTACTATTTACTTGAAAAATCATATTCCCTATTCTCTTGCTGCATTTTTTGTGCATTGTACAACAGCACAATGGGAAGGCATGCTTGAATTAATGAATAACGCAAGAAACACGATTCGTATGCCAAAATATTGTGAAAAACTATTTCAACCTTTTGATTCCTCTGTAACCAAATAAAAAAGTGAGGTTGTGTTTCAATAATTCACAGAAGAATGAGGTTGTGTTTTAATATTTTGCCTCCAGAGTCGGTCTTCCTGCACGCGACCTATATGATGTTAAAAAATATAACTCATTGAAATGAAAATTGAAATGAATAGAAGTATACTTGTATAAACTGTGATCTTGGAGGAGTGTTAACATTTTTTGAAATGGAAACATGAAAACAGTGAATACTGTAAATGAAACTGTCCTAATGGAATACTTCCAGGAAGTGGTGTTTATCTCATGAAAATTATCAATATTTTTTTATTTATTTCAAATCATTTCAGTCTGAAAAGTATAGTGCCAATACTCTATGGACCAAATATCCACAGCAGAAATCAACATTGGTTGTTAAAGAAAACATTAATATATCAGCATTCAGTCGACTGATTGCCTTTCGGAGTGTTGAATCAAAATAATACACTCCTAAAAAATCAAAGGTGTTCGAAGGTGGACAAGTATTACTTTTTATGAGAGAAGCTCCAGATGATACTTTTCTGCTACATAAAGTTGATCTGGTAATGGGTGTATCTGGAGGCTTAAGACGTGATGAAATGGTCAAGATGACAATTGATGACATTGAAGACAGAGGAGCCGTTTTACTCATCAAGGTACCAGAAACCAAGATCTGCATCTCAAAAAGTTTCACCATTGTTGAAGAAAGCGAAATAGGAGCCTTGAATTTAGTTAAAAAGTACATTGCATAGTCCATATTGCTCAAAGTGGAGTGAAATATTTCACAGGAAGGAAGGAATGCTCGGAGATGACTTCGAGCATTCCTTCCTTCCTGTGACTATAGGAAGTGTTCCTTCTATCATAGCGAATTACCTCAATTTGGAAAACCCGAAAGGTTACACCGGATATTATCTACGACGAACGTCTTCAACGCTTCCTGTTCAAGGTGGTGCTTCCTTTGAAACACTAAAATAACATGGAAAATGGAAGAGTAGTACGGTAGCGGAGAGCTATTTTGAAGAAAGTATCTCCTCGAAGAACAAAATTGCTACAATGATAGCCCGTTCCGTTTCCGAAAAAGAAAATGTTAACCTTCCGAATGAATCCGAATGCATATTGAGGAGTTTTTTTAGGAACATTTGAAAATTGTAATTTGAAACTTTTCAGAGTAATTAATTTATTGAACCACAGAAAATAAAACAATTAGAGGGCATTATGGGTCTGTTAATAGCAACAAATACAAATACAAAATCTTTATTTCCATCGACTGAAATTCATCAGTATAGACATTGTCAAGGTCAGGGAATAAAATAAACTTAATACTAGAATAGAACAATAGTAGAATAAAATGGGACATAGCAAAATGACATTATATGTTATACTAGCAGTAATAACATCACTGACATAACATTATCTAGATACATTAAACATGTTAAAATTGGTTTTCAAAGAACACTTGCAGGGAGTGAAAAAGGGGTTTCTTTCAATAAAATTGTGATTTTTGACTTGAACTGTTTGAAGCAGCTAATCTGAGTAACTGTACGAGGTGAGTGATTCTAAAGTTTGATGGCTGTGATTTTTGGTCCATTTTTCACTTGGGTTAGTGAGTAAGGTGGAACATAAATTGTACCTGCAGCTCTAGTACAATAGGGAATTCTTTCCCCACATGTTTGGAAATCATGAATATTTTTCTTCAAGTAGATAAGACACTGGAGAATATACAAGTTATATACAGTTAGAATACCCGTGTCGCGAAAATGCTTTCCACAGGAAATGCTAGGCTTGAGGTGTAGCATATTTCTCAGTATGCGCTTTTGCCAAGTTAGTACTTCACCGTTGCCAAGGTATTATAAAGCAGTAATGAACAAGTGGAAAATAAAATACTTCGACTCACCACCAAGAAAATCTGCTTCCTGTACACCAACTCGTCCACGCAACTCGTCACCACCTGCTCGAGGCTCTGGCACGGCTTGCACAACAAGAACTCGTACTGCACGATGTCGCACAGCTCCAGAGTCGCCTCCACCAATTCGCGGTGCCCCACCTCACTCGACGGGTGCGTCACTTGGGCGTCGATCGCTTGCGCATGGGCGTCGATCGCTTGCGCATGGGCGTCAATGGCTTGCGCATGGGGGTCGATCGCTTGCGCATGGGGGTCGATCGCTTGGGCGGCGATAGCGACAAGCGAGTCTAGCGCAAAGTGCGTCACCAGCGTGTTGCTGTAGTAGGCCAGTTCGATGACGTTGGGTAAGAGGGTGACGGGCTTGATGACGTCAGAGTCGGCGGTGTTGTGGGGTTTCTCTTTGCGGACGAGCGCCGGGCCCAACATTTCCATCTGGAAGGGTACAGGTTAATGACAGCTTATAATTTAAAATCAGTATATTGACAATAAGACGCAGAAGCGCTTCTCAACTTTGTTCTGCGATTTGAAAAATGAAATTGCGCTTTTTCTTCTTCTGGTAAAAGTCACTTTACAGTTCGCAATTTTCCAAAAAAAATGCAGTCAAATGGGTCAGGATCTATTCACATTGTCGCAATTGATATTGCTGGTACAATTCTAGTGATGAAATGTTGGATTTTCGGTATTTTATGCATTATTTACGAATCATTTAGATACCCAACTCATTATCAATGCCCGACATTTAAATTGCGGTAAACAATTGCATGTAATGAAAAATTGGAAAATGTAAAGTGGCTCTGAAGACTATCAGTGTAACTGTTGATTGATGTATTACGCTTACGCTGTTAATGATTATGGATAAATTTCACCAATTTCAGAGCGGGTCATTTTCAGAGTAAAGTATCAAAATAAAAATATCCACAGTAGATGAATATAATACTAGTAGTTCCTTTGCCAACCACAATCTCAACTCCAAACAGTTTCAACATTGATCATAATTTGGAAATATTACATGTATGCCAAAAAGGTCGCCTTTTAAATATTTTAGAAATTTATCCTTGAAAAATGATAATGTAATTTCTCTGAACGAACAAACCCATTTTGATTGCCTCAAATTTTTCAATTCATTAAAGGTCACTAAATAAAACTATCCCATTCAATTCTGTCGTATCTTGCTCTTTGTTGTAGGTTGGTGGTTTCAGGGCATGGAGATAGAGTATTGTTTACCAATCTTGTTTTCTGTTTCCAATCTGACATAGTGTTTGTTCTTTGGTATTGTGTGCTCACTGATCAAATAATAATATTCAACTGATGTATCTTAATGTTCCATGATCTGCTTGACTTTTGACATTTGAAATTTCTGACTTCTGTCATGTCAATTTTTATAATCTTCAGTTTCACGCACATGTGATTCCTTCTCTTCAACAGGTTAATTTTGATACCTCATCAAACTTTTAGTTTGATTTTTCAAAGTTTAATTATCACCTTTCGGTAATTCAAGGGCATGTGGGCCCTTGTAAATGAACCCGACGACATATATTTATATTCAAATAAATTTATAACATAATTTTATATTATTTCACAGTAACAGTAAGTTTTTCAGGTTTCTTCACTTTTTCTCTTAATATCAATTGTTTTCCAGATCATGGAGCATTTTTCCTTGCTTGCACTATTTTTAACTATACTATTTGTATGCCTACTTTTTTCATTTCCATGTAAGTACTAAGTAATTCTTGCATCGATATCCTAAGTCAACGCTGATTTCTCTAGAACTATAATATTTTCTATTGGCTGATGATGGGCTTATATAAGCTCGAAACATGTTCCCTTAAGATTGATCATTGATCATTCTAGTAAAAGTTGTGGAGATGACTTTGGGTTTTCATCTATGAACTACATCACTCCACTTCTTCCATAAGTGTTTGAGGTTTGTTCGATAGATATGGTTTTCAACTTGTTTGAATTAATTTTTAATCTAGTGAGTATTTGATGTTTCAAATTATAATCGACTACCTCAAAGATGGTGGTTCGAAGTTTACCATTTGTTCCTTTTCATATTTTAGAGATATATATAAAATATATGAAATTCGAATATCAGTTTGCTGGCATTTGATTTCTAGATCGTTTTCGATGATTTCTATAATTGAGATTGATGGGGTCACCTTCTTCTTCTACTTCACATACTATGAACTTGTATTTTTTTGCTTGCTTTAAAGGATTGCAATTTTATTGTTCAATATCAAATTTTGTTGTTCTTTATTCTCGATTTTTTCTTCCACTCTTCACTTTTTCGGATGTATCTTCTCGGATTTGTCTCAGTTCACTTTTAATCTCATCTGAGTCTCCTTTTGATAATGCATACATTTCTTAAATAGTCATCATATTTTTCTAATGCGTGTTTTCGTAAGGCGAGACTGTCGATTTGCCTACGTATTAACGTTCTGCTACAGGTCTAAGTACGCACTGAAGAATACATACAACATTTAATAATGCACGGCCGTTTCAGACATTCATTTAATGTCAATATGGAATTTTTTAATGATTTTGAATTCACCTGGCCAAATTATGTATGTCACTGGCAAAGAAAGATCGAATGGTAGTCAATTGGAGATTTCTGAAAAAACAGTGAAATTACTTTACCCGCCCATTCACCTACTTGACCGTCCTCCTCTACTTTACCGCCCGCTTTACCTATATAACGCCCTACGGCGCTAAAGTGTTACTTCACGCCAGGAAAATCCGGGCGATAAAGAGCTACCATACGCCCGGTCGTGCTTTAAAATACTCAAATAATTCAGTCAAGAAACCGAATCGTTTGCGTGATGTACCTCCTTTCTATCATGTTTCCTGTTTATTCGAAAATAAGCGTAAACCTAGTTAATTGATTGTCATAAGTTGAAAAAAAAAACAGAGTGACATCTGAGTGTCTTGGATAGTCCTGTCTTCATAATGGGTTTGGTGATGGAACAGTCAGAATACAAATCTTTGTCAATAAATTATTTTAGATTTCCAAATAAAAGCTAAGGAGATAAGTCGAAGATTATGAATGTAGGGGAAACTTACAGCATATGTGATAACATCGATGGAATCTCCTGAAAAACCGATATCTCGCCTCGCATATTCCAGGTCCTTCCTTAAAGCATCTAAAGCATCAACTAATTCCTCTATATTCGCACCATCTCTGAATTTCGTTAATAATAAATAAGCTAAGGCATTTGTAGACATAACCGACGTTGACTGGGCACAATCTGCAACAAATAAAACGTTCAACTAACAATGTACGCAATATGTTCCATGAACGAATCCCTTTCATATGCGCCTAACAGGTCGAACAAAACACACAATAAAGGAATAATTAAAACAGGACTTGGTAATAGTATTTGAAAAAAAATTGAATATTTTTACTTCCCCCGTACATGGAATGGAGATAAAATGTTTGGGGAATACCATTCAATAGAAAACATCTAATTCGAAACGTGTTGCTATTTCTCAATAACATATATATTGTTACTGACTATGCATAAACTATAGTAACAACATGAATTGTCTGATAGTAAATTATATGTCCATTGAAAAGCAGCTTGAAACAATAATAGAACACACAAAGAACAACTTTGAATGCAATTATGGTTTGAGAATTCGTTGCTTCTTGACTAAGACTGTTTAATTCATGACTCCCCCTGGAGAATGATGTCCAGCAGTTGTTTTGACCCGATGAAATTTGTGCTATGATCATGTGCTTCTTCAAACATTCCCATCATATTTTGTCCATAAATATGTATCAGGAATATCGTGGGAAAAAATTGTAGTGAGAACTCCAATAATTATTTTTCCGAGATGTATTTCATTTTTTCATTTGGCTCAAAAAGTTTGACTATTTTGTATTCAGTACATTTCAATGAATATCCACCCAGAATAACTTTATATCTATATCTTACTCTCACCTCGGTATGAACATTGTTTTATTTCAATGATGGATTTTCTGAATGAGGGATAATATTTTCAGCCTCACCAGTTGGCCTAACTGTAGCTTGAAGTCTATGTTGAAGTCAAAAATTCCCAAGTTTTGCTAGCTGAAGCTATTATTCCCAAGATTTGGAAAAACACTGGGGTGTCCTATGCCAACTAATACAAAAGCTCAAGTGAATGTTAGGAGTTGGCAGGCTTGGATTTATCATATTAAATGTGAAACTGAATGCATTACTTTTATATTCACAGAGAGGCAGGAATCACAAAGTAGAGGTCGAATGAAACGAAAAAAGAAGTATGATATGCAACACCTCACGTCTCAGTAGCGCAATCTGGTTGACAATGAGAAATATTAGCACTCATTCTTGAAATATCTAAATTCATTTGCCTACACAAGTGAGACCAACACAAAGAACTAAGTGATTTAAAAACCGTTGCAAAATGACAACCCTCAAACTTCCCAAAGTGAGGATTTTATAGTCAAAGTTCAAATTTGAAAACCAAACTGTGACTTATCTGATGAATTTAATTTGATTTTGTACAATTTATTTCCATCAGATCATTCAACACATTAGTAAAATAGACATTAGACACTCACCATAAATTATATGTTTGGAAATTTGGGCCACCAGACCTCTTTGTTCTTCGGACACTACATCAGTACCATATAGACTATTTACAGATGGGTTAGATTTCAGCATTTTGTGCCCATTCAGTGGCGCAACCATATTTGAATTCATATTGAAGGTTTTCACTAGTTCCTGCAAACGAAATAAACATCTCACCATACAGAACACACTGCCTAATATTTGATGTGAAAGACATCAAAAACATATCTTACAATATGCGACATTCGGGGCAAATAATCGGAGGAAGTTGGGCAATAATATTTTTATTTATAGAGACGAGGTGTGGAAAACCTAGAGAAATCTAAGATACATTGTTAAAGAAATTCTTACCCTCAGCGAAAACGGTTGATTGAAGTCAATCCTCATCATACCATAATTAGAATTCAGCACTTTCCAGATTCCCTTCACTGCATTACCGAATGTTTCCATTTCTTTCGGTTGGCCTAGCTGCTCTCTAACGAAATTACCATCGACCAGTTTTTCATAATTTACGCTAACAGGAACCAACAAAGCATCTTCAATGCTACCTAGATGAAACAGAAAATTGATGCAGACCTAAATTACAAGTTACTGGAGTTACAAAAAAAAAATACCGAAAATTTATTACTACAAATTTTGGTTCCAGTTGTTTTTGAATACCAACTGTACCTACTATAGACTTCTACGTGGGAAACTACTAGTAAAATTTTAATTTATCCTTATACATCAGCATCGCGTCACTTCACCAATTTATAATTTCTTCAATTCTTGTTGGTGGTAATACAATTGCTGAAGCACTTTCTGCGTCATTTTTTCATATCTTGGAGCACATGAAAGAATATTCCTATAATGTTTGAAGAACATCTCGCGTACCTGGGGAGGAAAGGAAGAGGTAGGTATTGGTATTTTTCTCAACTTTTGAAGCTTATAAGTTCTTGGGAATACATCAATTTGCAAAGAATTCCTAAGCTTTGCCGTTCTATAGACGAACAAGTGTTGGTGAAGTGTTGTTCGACATATGTCAAGGTTGACAAAGCAAGGATGTGCTGACGGGGCTTGCTGAGTTCGTCTGACTGGTATTGCTAGTGATGGAATGATAGAATATTTCCCGTGAAAGAATCTATAGAAAAGTGAAAGGTCGCCGATTTTTCTACGGTGTTCTGATGGGGTCAAAGGATTAGTCAGTGCTGTATCACCCACCAGGCTAATGGCTCTTCTCTGGATGAAATCTAAGAAAATCTGAGTATCTGGTGGGAATGGTGGTACGAGACATTGTTATATCAAGCATACTGAAATCCGCCTTTCTAGAGAAAATACAGGCTTGAGTTTTGGTGACGTGGAATTCAAATAGGTCGTTGATTCCCCAGGCCTTCGTCGCACAAACAGTTTTGCTTTATTGTAATCAGAAATGGAACATATGAATAACAGTCACCATACATGGTTATAACAATTTGACAATTTCTGTGACGTTACACCAATGAACTCAATATAAACAACTGGAGGGGAGACGGCCGTTCTCTCGAATAGCACAAAGTGTGTCAGGGGCAGCTGCAACAAAGATAGCAAGATTTGCGGTAACCTGTCTCTTTCCTACTAGTGTTGTTTAATAGTGGATTGGTGTTTACGTTTTCTTTTATATAATAATTAAAGTACTTTAGATTTTTTTCTCTCGTCTAAACAAGCAAGAAAGTGAAGACATAAGTTCATTGTCTTTGGTTATGTGAAATATCTATTCATTTGGCGTGTTTTGTTTTATCAAAAGGGCTGAATTTGTTGGCCTGAACACTGTGAACTGATTGTTGAGAAGGTTTGTAATTTCATATTGATAAACAATGGTGATTAATTGTGTCGCCTTTGGATGCAAGAACGAGCAAGACAGAAGGAAATTGTCATTTCATGGGTATACCTATATTATTTGTCAAAGTTAAATACTTCCATGACTTTTCCATAAACATATCAAGTAATATTATTTGTTGCAGTTTTCCATTCAGACATTCTTGAATTATGGATTAAGGCAGTTCATAGAGAGAATTAGACTCCATTTAAAACCAGCAAGTATTGTGGAGAGCATTTCCTGCCAACTGATTATTTATTTTGACATACCAGGTACTGCTAGGTTATTGAAACCAGATGCTGTACCCAGTATATTTTCATTTCCTAAGCATTTGTTACCAAAAAATGCTGATCCTCGCAGGAAAATAAGAAAACTCATAGGTACCTTGTTGATTAATAATGAAAAAAAAAATGTTTGCACCTCTTTAAAATATAAAAGTAGCTAGTAATTTATTTTCAGGATGCATCTATGGACGTTCATTGCTTGGGTCCTAAGGAAGATGTTTCTATGTTTCTGATATTATGGACTTTGATTTGCCTACGACTTCCAGCTCCCAAGTTTCGAAGTTCATCAATAAAGAAACCCAAACTGTTTCCTTGGAGAAGGATATTGTATTGAGAATTGTATTTTTTTAATTTCTGATAAGGATATGTTTGTAGGCAGTGACCTCATGGTAAAATAGGAACCTATGGAAATTAAGCTCAAAATGGACCTTAGGTACTCAATACCATTCAAGAACCTCTTTTCAAATTTTTCCTATCGTTTTTCTTTTTCTTCTGATAGTGCTGAGACATTCGCTCACCCTGTACAATATATTGTGACATTTGAATGAAAATATATAATTTCAATTTTGTATTCAATTGACTTCCTAATCCTGTAAGAATAAAAATGAAATTTCATTTTCAAGTCAATAAAAAAATCAATAATAATTTTTTAATGATAATAATTGATATCTACTTTATCCTTTTTCCTAAATGAATATTTGAATTTAACCACGTTTACTCTTAAATGAAAGCAAAAAACGAGAAAATATTTCAAATAATGCGAGCGCTTCCCATTAGCCAACATAAGATAGAAAGAGATAGGTATCTGTAAACACTGCGGGTTGCCTGAACAATATTTTTGCCTCATTCGTCGTTCACAGAGGGGCCCTTCCAGGTGTTTATATTGAGTTCATTGCGTTACACATGTCACGTCTTGTAAGCCATGTCATATGTCAACTTCAGGATGTTTGCGTTCATTACTTCAGCATACCTCCTCGCACTAGGTCGCCTACTAGGTTTTCATTTAGATCGACAATGCTTCAGCACCTTCTGTTGTCATTTATCAGGCTCACTTTAACACGACAGTATGCATTCAGCCATGTTGGCTGCTTAAGTAATGTAACAACATGTAATCCACAATTTATCTCAGTTTGAGAAACGAATTTAAATATGTTTGTACCGTAATTTGCAATAATGTTTACACTACCTAACAAGACCGACTATATTTTGATCGAGAATTTCTTGTCAACCTGACGAGTAGGTAGCCTCAATTTTACTTCTTTCAAATTTCAAATGTATTAAGGGCTATTTCTCCTCAAAAGCGAAAAGCTGATAATTTACCTACAGGTATGCACTGATGATGGCTTTATAGCCGAAAGCGCTTTGCTAAGATATTTTGAATAAACTATATTGCATGAATACAACATTTGTACAATTATTTGTATATACACGTGCACAAAGCTAAGCAACCCTCAAAAAAGCTAAACCCCTTACCGTCGAGGAAGGAATCAACGAGCACGCTGAGCACCCCGTATTTGGGCATACACGGCTTGCCCGTCCTTGTTCGGCCGCCCTCCAGGAAGAACTCGAGGTTGTGGCCGGCCCTCAAACAGTTGTTCATGTACGCGTGCAGGACCGTCTTGTAGACGACGTCCTTACGTCCCATCACCGGGTCGATGCGACGCTTGATGAAGAAGGCGCCCAGACCGCGGAGCAGGGACCTGCAAGAGCATCTAGACAGGTTAGACCACAATATATTTAGGGTGAAAAGTGAGTTCACTTGGCATCGGGATCTTTGCTCTTCATGGCAGACGTTTTATTTTTCCCCAGTGCGCATCGACAGAATGTGTTGTTCTGTGTGCGATTGTCAATTGAAACGTAAAATAAAACGCACAATCTCAGCCTACAAACATATGAAAAATATTAGAAAGGGCGAATACACCCAAATTTTACCTCACATTTCACAATAATTGCACCAATCGCAGTTTGAACGAATCCATCTAAAATAATTTCATCAATACAGTGTTGCCACTTATATCAGGAAGTAGTAAATAGCCACTTTGTTATTTCGAATCGAAGTATTATGTTTATTATTGGAATCTTTATATTATGATTTCCCATTAATTTTCCTGAGGATTTTCTATACCTATCATTAACCGCTTTCGCAATAAAAATTATTTTTTCAAATGTTTGTGCAAAAACTAACCCATGAAAAATATGGATTTTTTCACAATGCAATTTCACAAATATTGCAATTCGGGTCATAGCTGCATAAGACTATAAAGTATTCTACCTATGAACTGGATCTTAATTTTCGCACTAAAAATTATTTTTTCAAATGTTTGTGAAAAAACTAACCCATGAAAAATATAGATTTTTTCACAATGCAATTTCACAAATACTGCAATTCGCGGGTCATAGCTGCATAAGACCATGGAGTATTCTACCTATGAACTGGATCTCAATCTCATACAGGGAGGTTCACAAGTGACTTTCTTTCGGGGACCCATGAAAAAGACTGAACCTCAGTATTTTTTGAATGGAATGGTATAATATCATTGATTCAGAAGTTTGAGATATTTTACCATTCAACTGTGTAAAAGTTCCCTATACCTCACTCGCCTGGTTTGTTAGTTATGATCATTTGTTATGAATTCTTCTTCAATGAAATTATAACTGCATAGTGACTCAGGAAGTAGGCTCTGAACTGCATTCTGACAGAAAACTGATATATATTTAACTGCTTTACTGTAATTATGTGAAGTTCCATAGCAGTGAAAGTACTATGGCAGAAAATTACTGAATAACTGAAATATGATTTTGATGCATGTATTCATCATTGTTCAATGTAACAAGAATGTCAGCAGAACATGTCATGAGTTCAATGTAAAGCTGTTGACCAGTTTATAAATCAGGGGTCAGACGTACTGGCGAAACGACTGGGAAGCGAAAACGTTTCTATCTTGAAGCTGGAGCAACAGCGGCCTCTTTTGTACTGCATTTATTTTACGCACCGTTTGACCGAACATCAACAACAAAAAATGGAGCAATTTTATCGATATTTTCTTTTAGTTGCGCTTCCATAAGGGCACGGGGAACCCCTTTTTTGAAAAACCCGTTAATTTATGGTGTTGTCACAAACAAAACCTTTTGGCCTTCATTTATTGAGAGCCCGTTATTCAATTTATAAACCCAATTTTGCGACTATGGGCACTGACAACGATTCCACAACTAGTACCATTACATTTTTTAGCTCCAAAACTTTCAATTAGGCTGAAGATGATATGTTATAAGACCGAAACATGTCCCTTATAAACGTGTGACAACACCATTGAAATTTGTGGAGATGACTTCGAGCATTCCTTCCTCCCTTTGAATAAATAGGCGAACAGATAGCAATATTTGTAGAAAAAACATCAATAATTTGCATCAATTTGACAATCGATTCTCAACTCACCCGAAGAACGGAATCCTGAGGTTGTCTCCCGCAGCCACCAACGGCGATCTGACGTTGTTGTTCAGCAAAATGAACGATATCAGGATGTAGTCCAGATGGGACCTGTGCAGCGGCAGGAATATCAGCGGCAGGCTCGATTTACCGGCCTCCTTCAGCATCTCCACTTGGCCGGGATGGACGACAACGGAGGTGAGGAAGCACGGGAGTAGTTTGTAGAGGACCCACGAGGTGAACCTGGAAAATAAACCGGGAGCTTCGTTAATCAGATTTTTTTCTATTTTTTTTATGTTCTGGTTCCCACGTAAAGGGATAGAATAGAATAGAAATTTATTGATTTCATTAGATTACAATTCCTAATTTTGAGAATAACAAATTGATTGGTCTATGAAACGAGTCAAAAGTTATACAAACACATTCAGTACAGACATAATAAAATTTATTAATTTTGGACATTCAACTCGCAAATTAAGATTCCAAGTAATCCTTAACCATGTAAGGCTATAACTCGATCAAGTATGATTTCGATGACCCCAAGAAACCGCTGATGTGCTCAATCGTTTTTATTGCCTGCGGCAGACGGTTAAAAAATTTAAGTGAACTGTACATTGTACCTCTTCCAGTGGAACTTCTGTTGTGCTTGAGAAATGCATAATGACCTTTATGCCTAGTATTATAAGTGTGGCTATTTTCATAACAGTTGAACTGTATCCTGTAATGTTCAGAAAACATCGTGAGAACCAAGGAAAATAAGGTAGGGATTGATGTTCTCAAATTTCTGAAGGTTATATGCCTCGGGGAACACCTCCCTTGGCAATGTGTTCCAGAGCCTCGCTGTTCGTTGGATGAACGAGTCGTTGAAAAGAGATGTTCTGCAGGTCTCCAAAGTGACCACGAAGGGGTGCGAGGCCTCAACTAGACGGGTTAATCTCGCGGGGACTGCCAAGGGAGGAACAATTGTTGATATTTCAGAAGAGCATCGTCCATGAAAATATCTATAAAATAGAGCCAGATCGCCAACTTTTCTACGGTGTTCCAGAGAAGTGAATGAGTTTGTGAGCGAGGCATCACCCACGAGACGAATTGCCCTTTTTTGGACAGAATCCAACAGTTTCAGGGTATGTTTGGGTGCTGCATTCCAAATATGGGAACAGTATTCCAGGACAGGTCGGATCTGTGCCTTATAGATCATAAGCAGCTGACTGAAAGTGAAATAGCTCCTGGCCCGAAACAGAAAATCTAGGTTTTGGGATGCACTTTTGTCAATTGATCTCACGTGATTTTACCAAGAAAGGTTATTGCTGATAGTAGTACCAAGCATCGAAATGGATATCTTCAAAGGTATGGTTACTCATGACAAGCTTATGTTGGGCACAGTGAGATCGGCTTTCCTAGAGAAAAGGCGTGCTTGTGTTTTGTTTGCATTGAAATCTACCAAGTTATTGGATTCCCATTCGAGAATTGTTGCCAAGTCCATATTTATGTTGTCAACATTATTTCTTCCTCGTTCGTTTCTGATTCGCCTGGCTGGTATTGAAACCCTGGAAGAGAAGGCGGTATGGAGGTTACTATCATCCGCGAAGCTGTGTACTGGACATGAAGTTGCTTCCAACAAATCGTTGATATGGAGTACAAACTGCTATTATATTTATTTGCGGGTACAGGGGTGTAGATAGATAGATAGATAGCTAGATAGATTATTAATCTCGTCAGGTCATTAACACAACATGAGACAAGCCAAAAAATACAAGTGGTACATAGAAAAATCATATATATCACCAAGTTAAAAACAGTTCATTTTACATTTCCATGGTGGTACACTATACATTTTTTCAATTTGTGCGTGTACAATTTTACATATAAAATACAATGAATTTCAGTTCAAGTTCTTAGTCTAAATGAAAATTTTAGAAAATACTTGAAAATATGTTTGAAAACGAGAATTGGTATTCAAGCCTAGTCTTAGGAAAAAGAAGAAAAATTTGACTTTCATAGTGAATTACAAAGATATGATGAACAGAGAACAGTACAATAGGTGAATGATAAATAGTGTGTTGAACTTTTGTGTTTTCAATGCCTTAGCATACAGAATATGCCATTTGTTGATTATATGTTTTATTATATATTATATGTTAAATTATTCAAGACTATCCATTGGTGAACTTTTTTTTTATATTTTCATATGGTTTACCGTGGATTTCTACTGGTAAGAGGTTGAATAGTTTTGGACCAATGTACAAGATATGTTTTTGGGTGGCTGAGAATCTATTTATTGGTATTGTCACATTTTTATTCTGTGCTGCTCTAGTGGTATTGTGTGGAATTATTTTTTCATATTGAGTATTTTTCAACATGAATCTAATAGTTGCTTTTACGAATAACTGCTTAATTGCCAGGACTTCTGCTTCATAGAATAGTTGTTCTGAAGGAAATGTTCTTTTTTCCCAAGCATGGTTTTTAATAGATATTTTTTAGAAATACATAGTGGTGACAGTATTGTTAAACATGCTGCTCCCCAAATTATAATTCCATCCCACTTGAGGTTTTCATCTATGTATATACCAAGGTATTCAGTGCTTTCCTGTCTTTTTATTAATAAATTGCAATTACAGTAATCATCAAACTGGCATGCATTCTCATGGATAATAAAGTGTTTTTTATTGGTGTTAGTCTTTTATTCATTGAAAAACAGATGAAGTGGGTTTTTTTCAGTATTTAAGGTGAGAATTTATGCCTCCAACCACTCTTTAACTTTTGAAATAGTCAGTCCGCTTTTTTGAAAGTTATGTCCCATGAATCACCATTATTTAATAATGTGGTCAGACTATTTACATACATGGAAAACAAAATCGGGCCTAGAACAGTCCCTCGTGGCACACCAAACTCCACTGGAAGTGAGTTGCTCATAGTATTTCCAATTTTTACCTTTTGTGTACGGCCTGTTAGATATGATCTAAACAAGTCGTTTGTCAATCCTCTGATTCCATTTTTCTCTAGTTCTTCCAATGAAGGGTGATTCAATAGTACTTTAACAAACTTCAGGAGGTGGTTTCTCACAATATTTTGTTATAATACAGGGTGTTGAAGTTTTATCTTTATTTTAGAGTAGGTATGAAAAATGAAAATATTCGTATTCGCAGTTATTTTTAGTAACTAACCTACACCGTTTCCCCCGCAATCATCTAAATTCTAAGTCATTTTTCCCCAGATTCTACGGAAATTAGAGTGTTGCATGGAGGAAAGCCCCATAAGAGCCCATGTGTTAGAGAGAGATAGATAATGCAGATTTTCCCCAGATCTACGGACTTTTTTCCATGAATTTAAAGGTTCAAAGTAGCAAAAATGGCTCTCTTCCAAGGTTTCCGACGAGTGAGCTTCCTGCAAGCTGGTGACGGGAATACATATCTACAATAACAAGAGAGATACATAATAGGGTGTGTCGAATGGAAAATTTTAGTGAGCTAACTGATTTTGCGTGTTCACCAACGGTGCTAGGGGTTAGGTGGGTGACGTAAGGTGCTGAGGTGGGTGGACTACCTTCCGTGCGAACGATATAGTAATAGTAATAAGTTCTCGTTCGAAAGGATTATCCTTCGTGCGATCCAAAAGATTATGGATACTCGTCTTGTAATGTTTAAAATCTGTCGAAGACGTTGCAGACCTTCTGGTAGGTGAACTGAGGAACCCTGACGCATACCTCGGAATGTTTTTCAGTGTGCCTGGTCCTCAGATTTTTGGTAATTTGGGCTGATATTATTTTGAGTTAGAGGTTGTTGTATATCAAATGAAAGGTCTCTGCTTGAAATTTACGAAAATCAACTTTTGAAGGGCCTCAAGGGCCATGTAGTGAATATTATGCCAACTATAGGTTGTTGTATATCGAACGAAAGGTCTCTGCTTGAAATTAACGAAAATCAATTTTTGAAGGGCCTCAAGGGCCATATAGTGAATATTATGCCAACCATAGCTTGTTACCTATCGAATGAAAGGTCTCTGCTTGAAATTTACGAAAATCAACTTTTGAAGGGCCTCAAGGGCCATGTAGTGAATATTATGCCAACTATAGGTTGTTGTATATCGAACGAAAGGTCTCTGCTTGAAATTTACGAAAATCAATTTTTGAAGGGCCTCAAGGGCCATATAGTGAATATTATGCCAACTATAGGTTGTTGTATATCAAATGAAAGGTCTCTGCTTGAAATTTACGAAAATCAATTTTTGGAGGGCATCAAGGGCCATATAGTGAATATTATGCCAACTATAGGTTGTTGTATATCAAATGAAAGGTCTCTGCTTGAAATTTACGAAAATCAATTTTTTGAAGGGCCTCAAGGGCCATATAGTGGATATTATGCCAACTATAGGTTGTTGTATATCAAATGAAAGGTCTCTGCTTGAAATTCACGAAAAACAATTTTTGAAGGGCCTCAAGGGCCATGTAGTGAATATTATGCCAACTATAGGTTTTTGTATATCAAATGAAAGGTATCTGCTTGAAATTTACGAAAATCAGCTTTTGAAGGGCCTCAAGGGCGATATAGTGAATATTATGCCAACTATAGGTTGTTGTATATCAAATGAAAGGTCTCTGCTTGAAATTTACGAAAATCAACTTTTGAAGGGCCTCAAGGGCCATATAGTGGATATTATGCCAACTATAGGTTGTTGTATATCAAATGAAAGGTCTCTGCTTGAAATTCACGAAAAACAATTTTTGAAGGGCCTCAAGGGCCATGTAGTGAATATTATGCCAACTATAGGTTGTTGTATATCAAATGAAAGGTATCTGCTTGAAATTTACGAAAATCAAATTTTGAAGGGCCTCAAGGGCGATATAGTGAATATTATGCCAACTATAGGTTGTTGTATATCAAATGAAAGGTCTCTGCTTGAAATTTACGAAAATCAACTTTTGAAGGGCCTCAAGGGCCATATAGTGAAGATTATGCCAACTATAGGTTGTTGTATATCGAACGAAAGGTCTCTGCTTGAAATTTACGAAAATCAATTTTTGAAGGGCATCAAGGGCCATATAGTGGATATTATGCCAACTATAGGTTGTTGTATATCAAATGAAAGGTCTCTGCTTGAAATTCACGAAAAACAATTTTTGAAGGGCCTCAAGGGCCATGTAGTGAATATTATGACAACTATATGTTGTTGTATATCAAATGAAAGGTATCTGCTTGAAATTTACGAAAATCAACTTTTGAAGGGCCTCAAGGGCGATATAGTGA